GGAGACCACGACAATCAGAACATCTTCTCCAGAGAATTTCAACGCAACAAAAAATCTTAAATCCACTGCCACAACTTCAAATGCAGGATACGTGGGGAAAATTCAAAGATGAAAGAGACAGATGGAACTGTAACTGTAAGAGAGATAAAGAGGACTGAGAATTGCAAGGAACAATCCATTGTGATGGGCAACTCAAGTCTAGAAGTCAGAAATTGGGAAGAGGATGAGGTGTTACCCTTAGCTACAGAAGCAACTAAACAGGTCATTGACAAGGAAAAGTCCACAACAGTCTGGGTTCAAAAATATTTAATCAAGCTCGGCAAAATGTTTGGAGCTGACTTTAAAGGCCATGAAGAGGAAGCCTTGGAACTTCTTATGCAAATTGATGCGTGCAGGCATATTAGAAGGATGGAGCCATCATCAGAAATCAGAAGAACTAGATTCAAAGGCACCAATGAATTGAAGAATTTAATTACTTTTGATGTTAAGTTCAAAACTAGTGAGGCCAGGAGCGCGGGGAAATGAGGTGCACAACCTGTACCATGAGGTTCAACCTAGTGTCTTGGAATGTTAGGGGACTAAATGACGGGGGGGGGGGGAGGGGGAAGAGTGGTGAAGAGTTGTATAGAACTTTGGATGGCTGACATAGTGTGTCTTTAGGAAACTAAACTATAGGGAGACCTTCAAGAGATAGGGAAGCAAATATGGGGAGGGACATGGGTTAGATATGCTTGCCTAAAAGCAAGTGGTACCAGGGGAGGGATTAGCATGTTATGGGATAGTAGAGTTTGGAAAGGAGAGGTGCAACAAATAAGTGTACATACGCTAACTTGCAGTTTTGAAGGCCTGCTCCAAAACTTTAACTGTCACATTACCGGGGTGTACGCACCAAATTGCAACGTGGAAAGAAGAGAGGTTTGGGATGAATAAGGTTCGGTCAGAGGTTTAATGGAGGGCCCTTGGGTAGTATGTGGGGACTTCAATGTATGCAGGTTCCCCACAGAGAGGAGAAACTGCCAAATGAGATCTACTGCCGTGGTAGAATTCTTAGACTTTATAGAAGACCTGGAGCTTATTGACTTGCCACTTGAAGGAGGAACACATACTTGGTTTAGGGGAGATACAAATAATATTGCATCAAGGATAGATAGAATAATATTTACAACCGAGTGGAGTGAACAATTTAGTAAAATAAAGCAGGTTGCTCTACAAAGACTGACATCAGACCATGTGCCTATAGCTTTACATTGTGGACCATGGGATCTGAACAAATCTTATTTCAAGTTTGAAAATTGGTGGCTGAACACAGGAATTTATAGATAAAATCAGGTCTTGGTGGAATTCTTTTGCATATACAGGAAACCAGACTACATTTTAAGCACTGAAGGGTAAGCTCAAGGAGTGGAGTAAGAAAGAAAAAGGAAATTTGCTTTTGCAAAGATCCATCCTGTTAAACAAGATGGCAACTCTGGACTCTATTATTGATAATAGAGCACTAACAGAGGAAGAGGTTGCATTAAAGGCAACTACTTTCCTGGAGTATGAAGAACTACTCAAGAACGAAGAGACTACATGGAGGCAAATATCCAAAATTTTGTGGCTAAAAGAAGGTGACAACAACACTAAGTTCTTTTACAACTCAGCTAATGCACATAAAAGGAGTAATTGTATTGACCAACTGGAAGTACAAGGTGAGACAGTGAAGAAGCCGGACAAAGTGAAAAAGGAGATCATACAGTTCTATAAGAAGCTGTACACAGAAACAGAGCGATGGAGACCAGCAGGAAACATGATAAATTGTCCTACAATCTCAGAAGCAGAAAAAGTATAATTACAAGCCAAATTTGAGGAGGAGGTGCTCAGTTGCCTGAAAAAGTGTGTTATAGATAAGGCCCCTGGACCTGATGGATACACAATGGGCTTCTTCATCAAATGCTGGGAAGTTCTAAAACATGACATTATGAATGTCTTTCACAACTTCTATGAACATGAGATATTTGAAAAGAGCTTCAATGCAACATATATTGCACTGATTCCCAAAAAGAAAGGGGCAAAGGAGTTAAAAGATTTTAGACCATTTAGCTTGATAGGCAGTTTCTACAAGCTTTTGTCTAAAGTGTTGACTGAAAGGATCAAAATGGTGATGGATAAAGTGGTAGACTCCAGCAAATGGCTTTCATTCAAGGCAGACAAATTATGGATGCAGTATTGATAGCTAATGAAGCAGTAGACTCAAGAATATCACAAAAGATGCCTGGAATCCTATGCAAATTGGATATAGAAAAAGCTTATGACCATGTGAATTGGGGGTTTCTAATCAACACACTCAGGAGAATGGGATTTGGGGAGAAGTGGATCAAGTGGATCAGATTCTGCATCTCAACTGTAAAATTCTCAGTAGTGATAAATGGATCACCAGAAGGTTTTTTTGCAGCTAAAAGAGGAATAAGACAAGGGGACCCTTTGTCCCCTTTTCTGTTCATCCTAGCCATGGAGGGTCTCAATAATATGATTAAGACAACAAAGGTCAATGGCTGGTTATCTGGTTTTGAAGTGGCTAAAAACAATGGAGAAAGTCTAGAGGTGACACATCTACAATACGCAGATGATACATTGATTTTTTGTGGTGCTGAAGAGGAACAATTAAGATACTTGAGAGTGATCTTAGTACTCTCTGAGGGCATCTCAGGTTTGCACATTAATTGGGAGAAGAGTCACATTTATCCCATATACAATGTCCTAATAACCTTTTGGCCTCAATTCTGGGAGGAGAAGTCGGAACCCTACCCTTTATATATCTAGGCATGCCATTAAGGGGCCAATCAAGGTCCAAGGGAATTTGGGACAATGTCCTGGAAAGATGTGAGAGGAAATTATCAAGATGGAAAGCCCAATACTTGTCTGGGGGGTAGACTCACTTTGATTAATGATGTGTTAGATGCCCTCCCAACCTACATGCTTACCCTTTTCCCCATCCCAGCATGGTAGTACAGAGGCTAGACCAAATCAGGAGAACCTTTTTTTGGCAAGGAAATAATACCAAGAAGGGTTATTACTTAGTCAAGTGGAAATAACTAATCTCAAGCAAGAAACAGGGGGGCCTTGGTATCAAAAATCTGAAGACCCAAAGCAAAGCTTTGAAAATGAAGTGGTTATGGAGATATGCCCATGAGACACACTTTCTATGGAAAAAGGTGATTACAACAAAGTATGGAGAAGTGGATGGGTGGATAACTGAAGAAGCAAACAATCCTTATGGTGTCACTGTTTGGAGATCTATCAGAAACTGGTGGACTATTTTACGTAACCACACTACCATTAGTGTAGGTGATGGTAATAAAACCATCTTCTGGAAAGATAGGTGGTTAGGTAATTAGAGTCTTGCAGAGAAGTTCCCTGATATGTTTGACTTAGTTATCCATCAAGACAGAACGATAACTGACATGTGGGCGTTCCAAGGCTGGGAATTAAATTTTAGAAGAAACTTGAATGATTGGGAAATTCCTAGACTAATTGAGTTCTTCAAAATTATTGAAGATTTTCAAGGTCTGAAGAGTGAGGTAGACAGACTATGGTGGAATGGGCACAACAAAGGGGCATACAAAGTAAGTTCAGGGTACAAATTTCTGAACCGACAGTGGCACAGAACTCCATATGGCCATGGAAACAAATCTGGAGAACCAAAGCACCTTTGAAGGTGGCATGTTTCTCATGGTTGGTAGCAAAAGAAACTATCTTGACACATGTAAACCTAAGAAAGAGGAACATTATCTTAGTCACGCACTGTTGTTATGTGGTGAGGCAGCTGAAACAGTGGGACATTTGTTTTTACATTGTAGAATCACTAACCAACTATGGAAGATTTTCATTAATCTCAGAGGCATACAATGGACAATGCCTAGCAAGATTGTTGACACTCTATCTAGTTGGGAAGAAACTGGGAAGGGAGCAAAAAATAGGAGCTACTGGAGAACCATACCATCTTGTATATGGTGGACCATCTGGAAGGAGAGAAATGCTAGGTGTTTCAAAGACAGGAGTAGAACAGTACAGAAAATCAAAACAGATTGTATTTTGCTTTTGTATTTTTGGTGTACAAAGTACTCTCCTATAGATGCAGAAAATATCCTAGATGTGTTAAAATCATGCTAGGATCGGGAGTTCTTTGATATATTGCTATAATTTGACTTGCTGTAAAGGGGTTTAGCACTACCTAAGTGCTGAGTTATAATACAAATATTACTTATTCAAAAAAAAAAGAAGAAGGTCAAGAGAGAGGCATTGAAAGCTTTACAAATGTAGATTGGGCAGGTTCTACTATTGATAGGAGGTCTACATCAAGATATTGTACTTTTATCTGGGGAAATCTCGCGATTTGGAGGAGTAAAAATCAGAATGTTGTAGCCCGTAGCACTGCTGAAGTTGAATACCGATCTATGGCCCATGGGGAAATCTTGTAAGCAAGTTAGGCATGAAAGATATTTACATGCCAACTTGAAGGGGAGTCTTGATTTGTAAATATCTAAGTGTGATTAGATATGATTTTGTAGGATTTAAATTGATCTAACAAAATCATATATGATATGCTATTGAATAGGTTAGGATATTAGAATCATTCCTTGATTCTTATATCTCAGAATCAAAGGAATCTGATTGCTGGCTAGTTTATTTTTCTATACTATAAATTTGTATCTCTATGGATGAATAAAATTGTACAATTTTGGTACCAAAACTTACAATGGGAGTTTTCTTTTAAAATCTATGATAGTTCTCCAAAATATATACACATATATAAAGTTTTTCTGAGATTAATGGGTGCACGTGGACCCCCTCCTAATAGGGTAGGTCCGCCCCTGCTCCGGGTAGTAAATGCTTTTTTAAGATTAAGAAACCCGCCTCTTCCAGGAAAACTATAAATGTTGATCAACTTGAGACATAAATGATCTTTACGATATGAAATTGATATTGGCATCCATCTTAATGAATCAAATGAACATGTAGTAGGACTTAAATATTAAGGCAAACACAAAAGGATGCAAAGCTATAGAAATAAGCTAACCTACTGACACAGTTGTGGACAATAAAGTTATTACAAAGAAAAATGGAAGTTGGCCCCCTTACAACTTATGTCATTTCACAAGAAGCTTTGATGCTAAGCTATAGAAATAAGCGAACCTACTGACACAGTTGTGGACAATAAAGTTATTACACAGAAAAATGGAAGTTGGCTCCCTTGCAACTTGTGTCATTTCACAAGAAGCTTTACTCCTCTCCCGGCCTGGTTTTCAGCAATTCGGTGGAAGGGTGGCCAGTGACCCACAAATTTGTTGTGTACGTATGTATACATGAAATTTATTTGTATGGATACTTAAAAGTCATAGTGATGTATGGTATACAAGATGCTGTACAATTTCTTCAATCGATAAATGGACAGCTTTTGTGGAACTTCTGAAATTAAAGCTTGCGGAGAAGCAAGGATAATTACAAAGCTATGCCCTCTGTAATCTGAGTACCTGTACTGAAATGAGGCGTTTCTCCATTAGTTTCCTATAAAAATCTTTGCCACTTTTAGCTGCACATAGCTTCCACAGCTAGTTTCTTAGAGGTATTTGGACATGGATCTCCTCCAAAGATCTCAGGCACTACATTTACTGAACAAGATTGCTGTCCAATGCAGTTCTGCAATATCCCATATTAAATTTCAGAGAAAGTACAAATGAACAATGACACTTTCAGATTAGTCAGTGATGATAAATGAATGAGATCAATACAATGTTAAACTCATTCTTTTTAGAAACAAACTAAAATACAGAAGTTTGAATGACCGCCAGAAAATAGCAGCCATCAGTCTGCAGGAAAACCTTTAATCCTTGGTTTAAATGAAGTCTAAATACTTGTAAGTTGTAATGCGAACAGGAATGGACAATACCTTTTCAAATGCATCATTGGACTTATGAGCATGGCAGCTACTTTCGTGATAGTTTCCACAAGTTCCCTGTGGTAATCCGTAACTTGCGAACTGTATGTCTGAGATTTTCAGCTCAGCTGGGCACCGTAAATGAGCTTTTAGTTGCAAACTGTTAGATTTTCCTGAAGTTGCCATATGCCAACTTTTAAGACTTGGTTGTCCTTCAACAATATCAGCACAAACTCTGGTTGTTGATCTTTTAGCCAAAGAAATTCCTTCTGGCTCACCTCCCCATTCTTCAAACATTACCAACAGATTCCCTCTTGGTTTCAGCCATGATCGCGGGACATGATACCTGAAATTAACAGTTTCATAATGATAGTTGTATTTTCTTTCAAACAAGAAGCTAAAGTTATAGTATCATAATTTTCATCAAAAGTTATAGTATCATATTCCTTCAAGCTTCTTGTGTTTCTCTTTTCTTCCCCTTAGCACCTTGTTTGAAATACATTTGTGTTAGGAATTACTCGGTAGATTTGACTTTTAAGCAGTATATCTTAAGGAATAAGAGACACAAAATGTCTCTCTCATCTCTTTCTGGTTTTGACTTTTGCTCTTACTGGGTGAGATTGTCATGTGAAACTTTCCCCCAAAATTTGGACTACTACTCCACAAATAAAAAAGAGAATTGCCATAAAGGCTGGACTTTAGGAAATCCCTTAGACCCTTACCATCTTTGAGAAGGCTGCTCGCAGTTGGTCTGACACTTTGTCTCACTGTAGAGTCCTGCATAATTGCATTCACCACAGTCGCCGCGTGCTATGTATCCAGGCCAGTGGCGACCTACGCCTTCGCCATTTATCCATATTTGACCTTTTCCCATACTTCCCATATCCAAAGCTAGTGGGTCATTTCCTTCAGGTGCATCAAATGTAGCCTGGAAAAGGTATTAGTGCTACAGCATGATTTTTGAGGATCATAAAACTGATAAAAACATGTAAAAGTCTTTTTTTATATTTTTTATATTACCAAGACCCTGTATTACACCAGTAATAATCTTACCTTGTACCAAGTCAGGGGCTGCTTTTGAGCCAGCAACAAATCCTTGACCCATTTAACAGAGGAACTCCCACTTAAAGTGTGAAGACTTAACATTTCACCTTTCATACCAACCTGCAAAAATAGAAAATCACCAGGTTTTATTGATATTAAGGGACAAAAATCTTATCCTCTTATCCTCATGGTTGCATTTAAAAAAGAAAAAAAAAAAAACTATTCCAGGAATTAATCCTGGAAGTGTTGTATACCAATTATGAAACACAAACGGCGGGGGCGGGTGGTCAAGACCTAACCCCTGGCATACATAATAGCAAGCTATCTAGGCAAAACAATAAAGCTAAACATAAATATTACACTTTCCTAGGGCTACACATGAATGTACATCTAACAAACAAAAGTTGGCTTTGTCATATTTTATCCTGACACTAGGCATGGTTGCAATTAATCTTCAAGGGGAACCGGAAATAGGACAGAGAATAAAACATAGAATAGACTTAATAGATGCATATGTCCTTTAGCTTTGTTTCTCTCCTCAAGCATTACATATGCAAAGCTTCTTGTTATCTTCTTAAATCAGGCTTGGGAATCTAGACTGACCCCTTGGTAAACGAGAGTAATAGAAGTAGTTAGCAAACCTTGTATGCCCATCTTTGTTTTGTCAAATCTCTTGTACCCTCATTGAGACCACTTAATGTGATTGGACCAAGCACTCCGGCGTTCCACGTCTCAAAATGCAATCCAACATTCTGGATTGGACTTAAACAACATAAGAAGTAGAATTACAATTGCTAATTCTAGAAAACAGAGAAACAGGATGTAGAAAACTCACAGGGAGACCAACAGCAACACTGAGCATAGAAATTTTATTTATACCAGCTCTTAGTTTCACATTGCCACTATATGTCAACTTTGGGTTTTCCAATCCTCCATAAACGGCTCCTACCACATGGCAAAATATAAAAACCAAATGGTGATAAGAATAGGCGTAATAGATGCATTTATCAACAACACCATTCTGCCATGTTGTCCAATAGGCTGCAGGTCCAAGTACCTGATAGTTGGCCATTGATGAAGACGTGCAAGGCGTGACCAGCAGACATAACAGTTAGAAGAGGTTCCTTTTCATTCTTTAGAAATCCTTCATCAGAGAGTTACACTGGAGGAAGCACACAGAATGATTATTGTCGATATCCAAGTAGCAAGTGAAATTGGAACATGATTTAAGAAAGGTAAAGATATAAAAATACTTACTCTGTCATGTACCATAAATAGTCTGAGGAATCCCTAGTAACATTTATCTGCTCCCATAGTCCACTGGTTGAAAGTTTATCACTATCATCAGCAGAGGGAGTTTCTTCAGTGTATGACTCCCAAGATAATCCACCACCAATAGGTGTCATCTTCATCTGAGAGCTTTGGGAGCTAATCTGCAGCAATTACAGAGGATGTTAAAACTTTTGGTCCAGAATATTCATATATTTTTCAAATACGTTTATTGTGACTGCATTTTTGAATATATTAATCTGGCCCTGGATGATATCATGTTTTTCTAGGTTGCAAACATTAATACCTGCAATACTAAAAAATGGTTTTTTTGTAGGTTCAAAGAAGGATCCTGTTTCATTACCCTAGCAGTGTTGTAGACAGCAGTTCTGCAATCAGGAAGAATGCTGATGGACCATGGAGGCAGGTCATATTGCATATTCTGAAAAGTGACTTTAACTGAAAAAGTTGGGTCATAGTTGGACAAAAATGCAGCACAAACGCCAGATTTCGAGCTATACACATGAGCCTGTGTTTGATGTCAACAGCTAAATCAGTTTTTGAAGAAATCAAGATGTTAAATTCATCTAGAAAATTAGAATTGTCTACATCAGTAACCTCTTGATATTTTCCGAGCCAAGTGACTTTTGCATAGGATGAAACCAAGGCTGGTTCAGAGAGCTTTATAGCTTTATGCAAGTCTCTCAAGTGCCCATATTTTGGTTCATTCAGCAGCCCTGTTATACCATAGAGCTAGTCAAGCATGTAACAGTTCCTGCTTGCTAGAAAAAAAATTTAATGCCGTTTCTTTTGGTTGCACAGATGATTATGAAATCTGAGAGTACATAATTCTTTTACTTGTTTAGTTGTGTTTCTGTTTCATACCATATTCATCCAATGGAGCATCATAATCATAACTAGTGGCAATGAAACGGCCTGCAGTTGTCCGGCCAAAATTTGTTCCCCCGTGATACTGCAGCCAAGACGATATAATTATATGAAAAAAGATAAAAGTAGTTCTTATCAGTTATAAAATCCTCTTAACTGGTAAGTTTGCATAAAATAAAATGATTAACTAACCATGTAATAGTTGAAGAATGAACCATTATTCTGTATAAACCTTGCAACTGCAAATGCCATATCTTCAGCAGGTCGCCTAGGAACTGGACCACCAAATTTGGTATACCTATGCATAGAAGGATAGAAAATTTGATAGAGATTCAACTGAACAGAAGCAGTTCCACTCATACGGTTGAATTCGTCGAACTTACCAGGCAGTCCAGACTTCTGTCCACATTTTAGGTTTGTAGGGTTTATTAGGTTTAAAATTTTCACAGTAGAAACCATTGCAAGTATCTATCTGTAGCAAGGAAAAGAAAAAAGGATTGAAAGAAAGCCCAATTGGGCCAAAATACTGTCAAGATATATAGATGATTAAGAGAAGAGTGAAAATAGCTTACAACAGGATCAGGTGCATCTTCTTGCTTACACATGATCCATGGGACTCCAGTGTCTAGACCTACAGCCATTTCAGCAGCCCATTTTGCATAAGGTTTACCAGGAGCACCAATTTCCCACTCTACTGGTCCATATTCATTTTCTATCTGTTGCCACATTTCATCAAGTAACAAACTTGCTTTTTTAAACATCATTTTCAAGTTGGGCACAGAAAATTAGGAAAAACAAAAACCATGAATTGAAATAACAACAATAACTACGCCTCAGTCCCAATTAAGTAGTGGCAAATCAAAGTTTGTTAGTATAAGAGTTCCGGACCATAAAACCTTTTGCTTATTAGGTTTAAAAATTATTTACTAGAACTAAAAAGACTCCTAAAAGAACATAGGACATATTCCTCTGAAGACACAGTAAAGACAAGCCATAAACATTATTTTCAAACCTGTGCCATAATAATTGGTCCTCCTTGAGGTTCAAACAAATTCTCTGACTTCATCATGTTGACAATTTTCTCAACAAATCCTTGCATAGCAACCTTCATCATAGTTCAACCAGTAAAACATAAACAGAAACAAA